ACATGATTAAAAGGTCTGGAGACGGTCAGCAAAGAGAGGGGGGATAATTTTTTCAGTTCTTTAGAACCAGGTTTTACATTGCACGAGAGGTGTCGCAAACATTACGTATCTCTACGTTACGGAAAAGAGTTTATTTATAAAACCTGGGATAGGCATAAAAGGGCAGCGATTGACAATGCCAAAAAAAGGAAGATGGAGCATAAACCGAGAAGAAAACAAGAAGGAGCGACTCTTTTGATTTTGAGACTTTATATTTCATTTGCACGCAGTATATTGCATTCCATTTGCGCGCATTGAGTGCCCAACAATACCAGAACAATATATAAAAAATGATTTCTATTGACATTCATCCCAGAAGTCAATGTTCAGGTTCTCGTTGAGATAACGGCCAGAGTTTCCAGATATTCTTCTGTGTTCTTTTAAATGGTGAGAAATTTAGTTGAGTCGAACAACGACTTGTCGATTCATTTAAAGAAAGAGAAAAAATTGGGGAAACATTTCAAAATAAAAATTGGCCACGTTTTCGCGAACTATTGCAGATTTGCAATACGACCTATGACATTCGAAATATAACCGTAAACTACGCTTAGAAAATGGCTCGTTAAACGAATGGTTTTCTCTTTAATCCAACATTTTCCCTTTTTTTTTTTTTCGAGAAAAAACAAGCACACTGTCGATTTTTTCCGTAATTTGGGCACTTTACAGACTGAAAATATATGAGAATCAGTAAGTTTAATGAGAAACAAGCTTACTTTCTCTCCCAATTACCAGAAAACGCCTCTTTTCTCGAGAAAATTCGAGTAGCTTCAATTCTCGCGAGAATTACCGATCTTTGCACACGTGCACTCAGAAAAACAGTGGATGCTAGAAAAAATGTGTATGTCACATTTTTCGTGTCTTTTTTTTCTCTTTCATCTGATGGAAACAGTTTTCTATTCGGTTAATTAGTTTTCGAGTTATTTAAGAAAAAAGTATGAGAATTCAAGAAAAAATTGTTCGGCAATTTTTTCAAAAAGTATTGCAGATTTCGCCACCCAACCCGTCTCATTCAGAACGTAACTAGAAAATACGTATTTTTGTCATGCATATATATCTACTCGCATTTCAAGTTTTCTTGTAAATAACTAAAAACCAGATGTTAGAGAACAAAAAACAAGTTTATTACCAAGTTGGAACTTACCCTCAGGCTTAGGATTAATGTCCTTACATTTTTAAAGTATACCTTTTTGTGTATTTTTTGGTGCTTTTTCCGATGGCGAAGTTAGTTTTTCCAAATATATTTTTTTTGTTAGATGTTTTCGGAAAACCCGGAGAAAATCATATGGGAAAAAAAATTAAAAAAAGCTACGCCTTCCCGAAAAATTATGGCACATTTCGCCTCGGGACTTATTTTATTTGAGAGCCAACAAAAAAATACGCAACTTCTGTCATGGGCACATATGTCTAACATTTATAATTTCGCCACAAATTCATCGCAAATTTCATGTCCATGGTTCTGATCAAAGAAACGAAAAAACAATTTTTTGGTAAAAGCACTTCTGGCGGCGAGAAATTCGCCAACCGGAAAACCCGGTTTTTCCTAATTTAAAAAAATTGAACAACAGCTACATCTTTTTTTGCTTTTTTTCAGAAAGATCACATCAAAATACATAAGGTCCACTTTTAACTATTAATAAACTCAAAATATCTTATACATAGGAAAAATATTTTCTAAAATAGTTTATGCTCCTTTAAGGTAGGTAAGTAGGTAGGAGTATTACTTGATATTTTCAAACAAAATGTCAACAATCATATCAATAAATCATAAAGTTATAGACCGGCGCTATACTTGTCTATCCCTAGATTCTTTTGATTAGTTGGTTAAAGTGAGCAAGTATCATAAAAAATAATTTGAGTTTCATGCAAATTATACTAGTTAAAATGATCTTCGTAGAAGTATATACAGTGAGCACGTAAAGGTTGGAACAAATTCGTTAAAAGTTTGATATGACTATTCGAGAAAAAACTCAAGACACCTCGATTTTTTTTTCAATTGCGCATTTTTTGGTCTACTCATATTTCTGTTCAAGTTATGACGTCATCATCATTTTTTTATTGGCAATACCCTATTTTGATATCATCAAGAAGAACGCATTTTTCTGTGTATGAATGTCATATTTTTTTGTGTTACATAACCGTATATTGTGCCGACTATGTCACAAGAAACCAGAAACGGCCAAACACATACTGTGCGAAGCTCTAGATCACAAAAGACAGGCTCTTTTTGGACAACCCCAGGTTAATCCAATAACGTATAGAACCCACTCACCCAAGGATCTGTACAAACTTGTACAAAGTACAAAGGGAACAGAGTGGGTGCCATAAACTAACATGGGGTAAAACACAATAAGCCAATAGTGTTTAGCTTTAGTGTTATTCGGAGACATAGTCAAACGAGCCCAGGAGAGAAAAAAAAAACCGTATGTTCCAGAAATAAAAGCGATTTCATTCTATTACATCTATTACATTAAATGCTTAAATTTCAAGCCGTTTGCCTCTTGACAATATACAACGCGATGTTGAAACTCTTGCAAAACATTAGTAATTAAATAAATTTATTTCGCTCCTAATTCTCTCTTATCGATCATCAAAAGTATTAGTTCCAATGCAACTTGAGGAGTATGTTTATGCGGATTTTCTTGCAATGATAATATTACATCCATTTGTTGATCTCCTGTAACGCCAGGACGACCTTTTTTATAATTATCACCGACATTACCAAAATTTTTAAATTTAGCTTCGACTTTGCTCACCGTCGAACGTATAATAGGTCTATCGGTATATTTATTGTTAAATAAGTTAAAAACCTCAGCTTGCGTACGGGTCTTATTTCATAACCTGTAATCATTAAAATCTTTATCCGTTGCTTTTCGCTTAAACGGGCCATGGTGTCGATAACTTAGTTATACCACTATTATATGATAGCTAATTATTATTGTGACATCGAATTAATAGTAATGAGACATGTTCTTCGAACAGTTGTACAAAAAAATTTAAACCGTTCAAAAGTAATTTTAAAAAAGTATTTATAGTCAGTGTTGCCGTGGAACGAAAATTAAAAACATGCCTACTTTAGTATCCCTGAATTAATTTCTGGAAATATTCTTATGTAATATAAGTAAAAATATGACATCCATACACCGAAAAATGTGTTATTTTGGAAGGTATTATCAAAATCAGGTATTGCAACGAGAACAGTGATGATGTCATCAAAAATATGAGCAGACCAAAAAATTCGCAACTGAAAAAGCAAATTGACGTATCTGAGCTTTTTTCCCAAAGGCCATATCAAGCCTTTAACGAATTTGTTCCAACCTTTACGTGCTCACTGTATAGTCCTTACTGAATTGTAAACCCAAATTTTTAATATTGAAAATTGCACTGGCATTCGTACTAGGATCTAACCCCTACACTTCTCTCTAAAACAGCAGGTCCATCGATTCAAAATTCCCGTGAGCTCCTACGTTTTCATTCTAAATTATATAGAATTCGCCGAAATGGGTCACGAAGCATTCATTTACCAAATGAAATCCTAGAAAATAAAAAAATAGATCCCCCAATAATTACTTTTTATTTAATTGGACCGTAAAAGTTTTACAGTCTCTAAACCAGACTGGCTGAGAGAGAAAATTGAGTTGTTCCTTTTGGGGATCTGCTAGCAAATTTCGCCAATTCGACGACAATAAATTTCAAGCGGGTGCTGGAAACACGACTATAAAGCCCAAATGTCTTGGAAATTCTCGATTTATGAGAAGGCGAAAAGTTTGTCACTCCTTGTTGGACGGGAGAGGAACAAATGAGCCGTGAGGAGACAAAAGACTAATGCTAATTTTAAAACTCTCCTTCACCGGATGTTTAGAAGAAAGTTGAGTTTTGAATTTATTTGTTGATGTTGTGAGTGTTGTCGAGCAATTTTTTTGTATTTAGAAAATAGCCCTTAGAGGCATTTTAATACTATGGCTCGATTATGAGATTTAATTAGGAAATAATTTGTGATACTTGAGACTGATATTTGAAAGCTTTAAGTAGTTGTTATATGTGGTCGCAACTTGGCACTTGTGCTTTGATTTTGACGAAGGCATAATGACAGTATGGTCCTCTGCTTTATTTATTGTCTCGATAGCTCGCTGTGTTGGGTGACCGGTATTCATTTTTTTAGCGGCACTCTGCTTTGGATCTCCGAGTAAACCATGTACATTTTAACTTTTCTATCTGTATACAAAAGGAAAGTATGGGAATCATCATTTTTTCGATCTCGAGTTTTCGGCGGATTTAAACATTTTAGATTCCCCTAAATTTTTTTTTCGATTTATGGCCAGTCTCAAGTTTGTGTTTAAAGTCTTAATCATGTGTGTTTTGTGTAGGCTTTGTTACTGTTTTCCAGCGCCACTTCAGGAACAGAACTGTTAATTAGAACCCAACAGTGAACGGTCCAGTGGGAAATTCTACCAAGGCATCAGAATTAATTTTAAATAATTATATTAAATAACGGTGGGATTCGAATCTGGAGAAGAAAATTTGTAACATAAAAGTTGCTTTCTCTAAAATGGTCCATATTCGAAAAATTGACAAAAATGTGTAAGATTCAAATTTTTTAAAAATTGTTAAAATAAAAGTTGTTTTGCAATATTTCCATATACTTTTTGTTCCATACATGATTTCTCTCAAATTTACAGCAAGGGAAAAATTTGGGAAAACTGTAAAATTTTAATTTTTTAGTATTTTAGTTGGCAATGAATAATATAAAAAAAATGTTTCAAACAAGATGTGTGTGGAAAATGTATTAATTTAGCTCATCCTCTAAATATTTACAGGATTGATACAATAGATTGTGCAGAAAAACAGTAAAAAGCATATAGTAGTCAATTTCAAGTGATCTACCAATTTTACTTCTGGTTAGGCCCTTGGTTCTTTTCGTGAAATGTCAGAAGTAACCAAAGGTTAAACCAATCCACTTGAAAATTGAATTGTCAAAAATATTAACTGTCAAAAATATTTGAAGTGTGTTTTTACGGTTTTTATCTAATTAGAAATAATGGACAAATTTTATTTTATTGGGAGAAGAAATCTTTGATAATAGTGAGGAATATGCAGTAGCGCAAATAACGATGCAAAATTATACGTATATAATTAATATTTTATATAATATAAAAGAATATTCAATGGCATAAAAAAATATATGTAGATATGTGCTTAGCAGAGTACAGTAATACACAATTTTTTGAAATGTTTAGGATGGAAAAAGAAACTTTTAAAATTCTGGTTGATATAATTCAGAAAGCAGATGACAATAAGATATCAAAACCATATACTGGTGGTCATCATCTATTAGACATACCTTCATATTTATTAATTTTTTTATGGTATATGGCAGTGCAAGATACACTAATTGGTATAGGAAAAAGATTCAATGTATCTCCAACAACTGTAATGAATGTTGTCAATAAAATTCGTTTTTTACTGTTGAAATTAAAAAAACAGTTCATAAAGTCTCCTTCTACAGATAAAGAATTATTAGAAGTCTACAGAGCATTTAAAAATTACCCAGGTAAGTCTAAAGTTTAAAATATAAAAATACAGTCTTTACATTTATTTTTATTTTGTAGGTGTAGTAAGAGCATTAGATGGAACACATATTTTTATCAAGGTAGAAAAAAATCAACAGGAATGTTACGTTGATAGATATAGAAGGCATTCCATGATCAGTAAATGATTTACGAGTATGTCCATTCAAAAGTAACAAGAAATTGTTACAAGTTGAAAAAAGAAAATACTTAATATATATTATCTTGTTTCAGGTGTTCCATAATTCAGTTTTTTACACAAATTTAAAAAGATATGCCCAAGAGTATTTTTTTAAAGATAACACAAAATATCTCTTGATTGCAGATAGTGCTTTTGGACTTAAAACATGGCTTCTTACACCATTCAAAGGACACAATCTAAATAAACTTAAGATTAATCATAATTATCATCTGAGTTCAGAAAGAGTTGTTATAGAACATACATTTAGAATGTACAACATTTGCAAAACTATCGAAATAGCGACAACAGCTTGTAATTTACATATAATTTTTGTATACTTAAGGGTGATTTGTGGAATGAACTTTTTCATGATAGAATATCAACATTGCAATAGATGAAGACCAGGAGAATGAAACTGCACAAATTAAAAGATACGCAATAGCTCATAATCTGTTCTAGAATAGATGATATATTTAGTTATTATGTTCATAAAGTGATCTACCATATATAAATATTTAAGGTAAATAACTTATTACCAAAGAAATTACAGGCTGTAACTATTTTTCCTTAAGTATTTTCCAGATTAAAACTGGATTAAATGACTGTAATTTTTTTATTTTAGTATAAATGTATTGTAAATAGGTAAGTAGCTATAAAGGTTTTGATTTAGTTCATTAGTTTTTTATGTATAACATTTTAAATCACACTAGGCATTCCTACTGATAATAAAAGAATATTTCCAGTACACTGATTTATTAATTTAATAACGAAATAATACAAATAATTTTACAAAATACTCGGTTGTCCATAAAGAAAAAAACATACAATTATTATGTAATTTTTTTAAACAATTAAAAACTTGGTATCAATAATATGTATTGTTTAGAGTCGCTTGTGTTTTGGTTTTTCCTACGCTTATTTTGAATATAAATTTAGTTTTAAATCTTTGCTTATTCTTACCATTAAGGAGAACGTTGGCCAAGTTTAAATTTCCGACGACCACTTCATAGTCATGTCCATCAACGTTAACATTAATTAAATATTGTTCATTTCCTTCATCCATGTTATAGAGATCAAAATGCTACACACTTTTCCCTTTCACATAACCTAACTTCACTCTCACTTTATTTGTAAAGTTTAACCCAACTCGGAAGAGTGGTAAATTCCGGTTGAAAATGTCACATATAATGACTTGTTAAAGGGCTAATCCACGATGTCGTACAGATTAACCGCTCGTAACCAATATCGATTGAAAGAAGTGGTTTAAACCGTTTTAAGTTGGTAGATTGCTTGAAATTGAATAGTAACTTTAGATAAGACAGAAAAGTCATGTGTTGGACACATTATTTTTAATAAATTGGATTAGTAATAATTTGTAGAATTTGATGGGTGAGGTATTAGCAGTCATCTAACTTTTGTTGATATGGCATCCAGAAAACAAATCAGGCATATTATTGTTTTGATGATGGTGCGATTAACCGGGTATTTCTCGCCTGTAAGTCTGAGGCACCATAAATCATCTGTAAGCCTGTAAGCTCCACACAAGCTCAGTCGGGCTCTTGGGTTAAAATTCAATCATAAAGAGATAGAATTTTACTATTAGGCTATATGTTAATGTATTTTTTTATCTTATTAACACATCATTTCACAGCTTATTTTTTTATAGTTTTTACCGTAATGCTAATATTTTTTGGGTCCATTATAATTAAAAACATCAAAAGGCATGAAATTATGCTTTATTTAGATAATCCAATATATTATTTTACATATATCTATGTAACTCTAGGAGCTATTGGATACAAAAAATACAATACCTATGCATTTGTAAACTAATTTACCCAGCAAACATTTTGGTGTAATTTGACGTCGATACTACCTAAATTATATATAATAAATTTGGTCGCAAAATTAGATTTAACCATAATTAAGTAAAATTTACGTTGGCTCGACGTGGATTCGACATAAGTGGAGAATCAGACGACGTCGAAATTTGGTTTTATTTACCAAAATAGGTAGAATTACATCTAAATCCACATTGTAGTAGCCCAGTACGTTTGGTTAGTAATACCTCTCTAGGGAAATTTGACGTCAGTATAACGTTAATTCGACGTTGATTTTACTAAGTTTAGGTAGAAACTACCAATATATTTGCAGATGACGTATGCCTCCAAGTGTACGAAAAGAAATTTTATACTTATTTGGTATTTTTATCTATATATAAGTAAAAATATTGTAAGAAGTCACCAACACAACTAAAACATATACCTAATTCACATGAAAGATTGAAAATAAATAAATGTCGGTGACAAAAATATATGTAATGTAATTGCGGTGAATATACAGTTCACTCTTGTTGAAATTAATGCGAAAACAATCTTGTCGTGCATGTTAACAGTTCTACTTAGAAAAATTACAATGCCCTTCCAAAATACTCTCTAATTAAAAAAATATAAGAAAAAAATATGATCGTGTAAAAAAATAATAATAATATTATGAGCTAAAACTATATTACGTTTGTTGTGTATCACTTTAGAAAATCAATAATGTTTCGTTTTTCGGTATTTTCATTATGTTTTAGTTATGGTCATTTTAAAAATTTAAAATTTGGAATCGTACTTCAATTACGTTAAGAAAATATGGCGTATTGTGCGAATTCGACCTAAAAGTTATTATGACTAAGGAAATCTACGTATTTTACAAATACCTTTTTACTAAGTTGAATTAACTTCAATTTCACGACATATTAGTTAACTTTACCTATTTAAAGAAATAATAACTTATAGGTTTTATAAAAAATTTACCTATAGGTAAATATAACATATTTAGGTCACGTTGTTCTGCACTTGAGATTTTAGACGTTTCACTTTACGATAAAAATCGAAAGTATAACGATATGATTTATTATTTTTCGAACTCATTTTATTAATTATTTTTCGCACTCATTTAAAGCTTTATCTACACCACACGTAAATTAAGATTACGACTGTAATGGTTTTTTTAAAATGGCCGAAATTCTTAAGAATAATGACGAAGACAGTAACTGAACAACCTAATTGTTAAAATAACCTAAATAATATAAATTTTACAAGTAGGTCATGTATGACTCTTTTTAAATTGGTGGTTTTTAATCGAATTTACTTTGTGGTAGATTTTTCAGGTAATTGCTACAACAAAGTTAATAAATATTTCTACAAGATGACTTATAGGTCAACTAAATGAGTATTCGACTATTTGGTTGAAATTAGGTAAATAAATAAGTAGAATTTTGCTACGATCTCGACCTAATATTACTTTAAAGGAGTGTAAATAAAAGCGGCCAAATAGGTTACTATGGAGGCATAAAATTACGTAGAATTTTTAACCAAATCTACCTAGTTGGATTTTCTACTATAAAGACGATTTTTAGTTGCCAAACAGGTAGATATTACATAAATATGGCACCTAATTTTACTACAAAGGAAATTTAACTTTGAAGTAATTGTTGGTTATTTTTTTAGTAGTTTTTCCCTTGCTGATATGGTTAAAGTTACTTTTAAGCAGATTTGTGTAAAAGGTAGATTTCTTGGTAAAATTTACGTAAATTTAAATATAAATTAAAACCGTTTGGTAAATTTACATTAGAGGTATATTTTTCTAGTCAATTTTACGTAATAATTACCTCAATAAGTAAATTCGTCTTTAACAAAGTCGAGTTATAACTAATGTTATAGAAAATGTTTGCTGGGTAATAAAATTTATAAATCTTAGTCATAAAAAAATGTTCGTTAAAACTCATGTATGTGACAGGTAATAAAGCAATCAATGCACAAACCTATGATATATTTTCTGTATAACGTGAATGCGTGTTAAACTGCTGCAAAATATTATACCACAATCCTTACCACAATCCTTATTTTGTCGTTTGGATTATTTCCTCGAGATGTTCAATCCTAACATATCTAATTTATTTATCTACTCTTTGTGCATTAAAAGAGTTCTGTCAATGCATTTGGGACATGACGAATAATTCTCCAAATGTTGCACGATGGTTCTTTTAACATCTATTTGAGAGATCTGAGAATTATGAACGTACTAGCAGGTGTCATATTAACATAATGGGTCAAAGAAACGTTATCTTCGTTGGATTTTGACTGTTCCGTAAACATATTTTCTCCCAGTATAATTCATCCAGCAGTTCTAACTGCTGCATCGACAAATAACCTGACGTTTGCTCAATTGGTTAAAACTTCTGTTCTCGTCCTCGTCTCCGAAATTCTTATTCGTTACTGTAGCCCAGGGGCCATACTGATTATTCCAGTAAGTTCCGGGACACAAAAGTGGAAATGGGTAGTAGGCAGTGGCGGCTTGTCACCAAAATTTTGGGGTTCACAGGGACAGAATATAAATATCAGTACAGACGTATGAAAAACTTTTAAGTGTGTTAGAAAGTTTATAATATACCTTTTTCTACTTCCTTACTACTAAATTGTCCATTACCTACTATTTGAATGCTAAGTAAATATGTCATTACAGTTACTAACACGTAATAACTAGCACGTAATAAAAAAAATTACGCTTTAAATCCATGAAAATATAATGTATCACATAAGCCTTGTAAGTCACTTGCCATTATTTTGACAGAATTAAATTAATAATACAAGCTGTCAATGCAAATGTACAAATAATTTAAATAGAAAAAAGTAAAATGAGTTCATCGGATAGTGAAGATGAATTTAGTAGCACATCATCCAATATTATTCAGTGGCTACCGTCGATATTAGGGACAGTAATTTTTTCACTTTTTCCATGAAGATTAAGTAAAACCATAATATTTTTACACTTTTTAATCTTCTATAAGTGTGCACTAACCTAATTAAAGCAACAAATATTATTAAAACACATTTGTAAGTTAAAAAATTAGGAATATGCATTTATTCACGACATTCTCACGTAGCCATATTGTTTTTAAATTTTTCGATTTGACAGTCACACTAAGAGCGCTTGTACGTGATTTTAGCGATGTTGCCAATTGCTTTTTGATATTTGTTCTAAATAAATATATTCATGGTAATACCGTTCTATATTAGTTTTTGTTTATGAATAATATGACAACTAACATTTTTATTTTTATAAATGTGGTTTTGTCAAACATAGTAAAAGAACGTACATAACAAGAATGACAGTGGCTGTTTTTTCAATAGCTCCAGGCTAGATGATAAAACCAAAATATAAATGTGTTTATTTGATACTTTTCATTTCAATTATTCAATTTGAGCTGTGTCCAGGCCGTTGGAGTCTATGCCAGTCGGCGTAGCCAGGTATGGGTTGATGTTTTTTGGTGGCGGCGAAGCCGCCACCCTGACTTATCGTAGGGTGTAGTCGTCAAAATGCTGATTATTATAGATATTAAATAATTTTTTTTGGTTTAAATAATGCATTTTCCGCAATTTTTTTTTAAATGTACTATTATAAAATACGCTCTTTCTAATAAAAAATAAATTTCTTTAAAATTCCACTGTCCCTAAAGTCGACGGGACCCTTATTCAGTTAGCTGCGAACACTACCAACAGAGACAACAGAGACGTGTAACTTAATAGGAAAATATGTTCGGTGGTCCATTTAAATTACATATATGACCCTCTTTTTCTTTTACATTGATCTTTACATATGTCTATCTCTCTCCAATAAAACTAACACCATTTTCAGAGGGCGCTGGTGTTGCTG